CGAAGGATGCGGCCAATAGACGCGGCTGCGCACCTCGGCGAAGGGAACGATGCCTGCGTCGTCGCCGACCTCTAGAGGGTACAGCGACTCGAGCTCGAGCTCGGCAACCTCGATATCTATAACGAGGACGGATGCGGTAGTGGCGAGCGGCCGTGAAGCGGCCCCCTGGAGCTGGACGTCCACTAGCTGGAAGGGGCCTATCATCCCAGCAAAGCCATCCGCCTCGGCAGCCTCGAGCTCCGCTGTAGAGCGAAAGGCACCAGGCAGGGCCAGCAGGATGCCCCCTTCTCGAGAGGCGAGGGGGATAGCCGCCCAGCTGGTGTCGCCGTCGTCTAGGCGCCATCGTGCGTAGTCGCGCGCCGTGGGCGCAGCGAAAGGGTAGAGCTCGGGCCAAAGGGGCCCTCCGCCAACTGGTGGCAGCTCCGCCATCAGTGGGCGCCGCCGTGGACGCCGCCGCCCGCACGCTGGGCGTCTGCCCGCTCGAGCGCTTGAGGTCGAGGCGGAGCCCCGTAGGCCAGCGCTCGCGCCGCACGGCGGTCCTGCTCAGGTGAAGCAGAAACCGCGCCGCGCGGCCAGGCGGAGGGCCAGAGCCTCCGCCACACGTACGGGCCCAGCAGCCCGAGGCAGCAGCCCGCGCAGGCGCTGCAGGCGGCCGTCACCCAGAGGAGGGCGGCGACCGTGCTGAGCAGCCAGGGAGAGACCCCGCCGCTCAGGTCCACCGCCAGCCCGAGGCAGACGGTGGGGCAGGTGGAACCCGCCGAAGGGAGAGGGCAGGAGGCCCCCTCGCCCTCGGACGAGTCCGCCTGCAGGATGGACCAGGCAGGAGCTGGAGGCCCCTGGTCCTGAAGCACAGAGAGGGGGGCAGCCACGAGCCGCTCGTAGAGCGCGGCCCGCAGCCCCCTGAACAAAATCTCCCCAGCGCCCTGGAGAGCCGCTTGTGCGACCGCCTGCATAAGGCGCCCGCACGCGCGGCCGACGGGGGGCACTTGGGCAGAGAAGCTGCGGAGACAGCAGGAGCTTGCTCACAGAGAATAGAAGAGGCATGATGATGATGATGATGATGATGGTGGTGGTGGTGGTGGTGGTGGTGGTGGTGGTGGTGATAATGGTGATGTAGGTGGTGGTGATGGTGACGACGGTGATAATGGCAATGACGGTGATACGTGCGGTGGTGGTGATGGTGATGACGATCATGACTAATATAGGTAACAACACTGGTACGGCTGCCAACGATAGTAAAAGCAGTAGCAATGCTTACACGAATACGATGAGCCATAATAATGAACCTGGCGCAGCCTTATAATGAACGTGTCCTGAGTGGTAGTGCGTGGCATCACTTCGCATTTGATTGCTTGGCATTGCTTGGCATTGCTTTGCATTGCTTGGCGCGGACTGTCATTGCCTTGCATCTCTTGTTGTTGCGTGATATTGATTGGCGCTGCTTGATTTGAACTTCGTGGCTTTGCGGTGCTTGGCATCGCTTGGCGTTGTGTGGTATTGCTAGGTACTGATTGGCGTTGTTTTGCGTTGCTTAGCGCTGCTTGGCGTTCCTTGACATTGCGTGGCGCTGCTCGTAAATAAGACCTAGAAGCCCGAGGAATGCAGCAAGGAACCAGGACCAAGCGACCCGAGGAAGGCCTTCGAGCACAGGAAGGACACAGGACCAAGCAACCCGAGGAGGGCCCCTTCACAAATAGCAAGGGGAAAAGACCAAGCAACCCGAGGCGGCTGGCGCAGGCCTGGCACCCACCGGCTCTTACAAGGCACCTCTCCCGCAAGCCTGACGGGGAACGGAAAGAAGGAGAGAGCTATCAGAAGAGAAATGTGATGGCCGCGATGATGATAGTGGTCCAGGTGCTGACGCGGGCTCCAGGCTCGGCTAGCCCGGAGAGCGCTGCTCGACTGCCTGCCGCCGCTGGCGCGCACTGCGCGCTGCATCTCACGGCCTCGGCATCCGCACAGGCGCCGCCAGCCTCCATGTGCATCCGCGCCCGAGACCTCAGGGGATTCCCCGCGGGGCTCTGGGGGCCACCTCACCGCCTCCCGGCGGCGGTGCCTCCCCAACTGAGAGCCCGAGGCCGCGCCATTCCAGGGCGCGCTCCGCCAATGGTGCCAGGACTGCCAGTGGCCCCTGCTCGAGCTGCCTGGGCGCCCGTGCCACACTGCTTGCAACTGGCATCAGTTCTTTTTGTGGGCTGCTTCGAAAGGAGTGTGGGGGGGAAGGCGAAGGGGAAGGACTAGACAAGCGCGTCCCACTACTCGCAAAGTAACTACGCGCAAATGGCCTTGATCCGCCGCGAGGGGGTTACGATCCATTACATTATATCTAGGCGAACATGTGTTTTTCGAACGTTTGCGAGTAGGCACTTTGCGAGTAGTGGAACGCGCTCGGTGAAGGACGGGGGTCCCGCGAAGCGACCCACCTCGTCAGAGCCCGGCTGCCGATCGCACGCGGCCTCGCACGGCGTGCCGAGCGTCGCCACTGCCGAGGCCGCTGCCTCGCTGCTCTCGCCACGCGGGCCCCTCGACCGGACAGTGGTGGGGGCCAGGCCCCCCGATGGCCACGGCCACAAGCGGGGTCACGTGCAGCCCGCCCCACGTGCCGGAAGAGCAGCGGCACGCCAGGGGGCGGAGGAGGCCCCTCCCCCCCGGGCCTGCAGGGTCACCAGACGGGTAGAGACGGACGACCGGGGGAGGACAGCAGAGGGGGCGGGCAGGCGTCTCCCCGCGCCGTGGGTGGCAATGCTTCGAGGAATGCGCCCAGCGGCGGGGCCGAAACCAGCTGCCTGGCCTGCAGCGGTGTACGTAACCCTCCTTCTCCTAGCCCCCCCTTTCGTCCGACCCGAACCAGGGTCCCCCCCCAGGGTGAGCGCATGGCAGACTCCCCGTCCAGATGAGGGCGCGGCATCCGCCGTCATCTAGACTCCCAGGCCACAAGCCCCGTCAGGAGGGCGCCGAAGCTCACAGGCTACGGTCAGGAACTTTTAGATAGCGTGTCGCGGCGGCGGCCCCGACGACACGCAATGCCCTGCGAGAGGATATCGTGTCGCTCCGCTCCGCGGAGCGGGAGGCTGGGAAAAGCTCGGGACGCGTGGACGCTTGGGGGCTGGGAAGTAGGTAGCGGGTCGCGCCGAAGGGTGGTGGGCCAGAACCAGCGGAGCGACACGCTATCCAAAAGTTCCCGACCGTAGCGGCTGCGTCGGGCCGCCGGCTGCGTCTCCCGCCTCGCCCGAGCCTTCCCCGTGAGGCAGCCCCTGCGCTCCTACCCGGGCCAGGGCGAGGCGGAGCGCCGCCGCGTGCACCGCCGCCGCGGCCGTGTGCTGCTCGGCGGCAGCGAGCTCGGCCTCCCGCTGCGCGAGGGTGTGCAGCGCTGGAGCACCAGCATGCCCTCCATGACGAACGAAGCAACACACACCTGTACCCAGAGGGGGGAGAGGGAGGAGGACTGGCTATGGGCATGGGCGCGGGTTATCGGACCCCAGGGAAGGCTCCCGTTCGAGCGGGAACCCCCATCCGACAAGACGCACACATAGCCCCATCCGTACCAGCGCCGCCCTGCTGCTCCCCGTCGGCGATGTTGCCGCCGCGTGGCTGATCGCGGCCGGCCAGGGGGGGGTCAACACCGCTGCCCCCTGCGGAGGAGAGCCGCTGCGTCTCGGAGTCGCTGGAGCTCTCGTGGAGCTCGGCTTGCTGTCTGAGGCATGGCTTCCGTGCAGGGCCATCCTGGAGCCGCGCCTCCCGGGGTGCCTACATCCCAGGCCGTCCAGCTGGTCGAATCCACCCTGCCCGCGCTGCTGGCCCCAGGAAACCACCTGGCGCCTGTGATGCTGCGCGCGGGTGCCGCGGGATGGGACGTCCGTGTCGCATCTGCTGAGCTGGGGGCCTGGCCTGGCAGACCCCTCCGCCACCTCCACTCCACTGGCGCCGCCTCCCCCCGCCAGACGGCAAGCGGCAAATCGGCGCGCAAATGAGTCTGGCTCGGTGCCGATGCTGTCTGGGCGCATCGGCTTCCGCGGGCTTCCTCATGGCCGTCGTGCGCTGGACAGCCGCGCGGCCCGGGGGGCTGCGAGTCCACAAGAATCGAGTCCACAAGAATCGGGCCGCGCGCCAAGCTTGGGCGAGCCTGCTGCCCTGTACGCCTCGGCTCCGGGTTGTCGCCCCCCCCCCCCTCCTACCTGGGGCGGCCGTCGACCTCCAGCTGCACATCCCTTGCGCAGCTCTACGCCGCAGCCGGGCCTCCTACCTTGGGTTGCGCCACGGTGCGACAGCTCCTCGGACAGGTCGCCCGCGCGGCGCTGCGGCCGCCGCGCACCGCCGCCGCGCCTGGCCCCCGTGCCCCCTTGGCAGGTGGCCCCGGCATCCTGCCTGGGCTCCTGGACAACCCCGCCGCGCTGCCCGTCGGGGTGCGTTTCGACAGCGTACCTGTCGCCGTCGTGTCGCCTCGCCTGCGACGGGCCTCCCGCTCTCCGACCAAGGCTGCTCCAGGCCACTGAGCCGCGGCGTGCTGTCGCTCGGCGCGCAGTGGAGCGCCGCCCGCCACAACCACCCGGCCCGCCAGTCGAGGAGGGCGGCGGCCTCCAGGCGCACGCAGCACCTCCTGGAAGAGCGCGTCCACGCCCTCCGCCTCGGGCCGCCTGGCAAGGGCGAGCCTCCAACAGCACGGCTGCAGTGACCGCGGCTACAGAGCGCGCAGCGCCTGCCTTGCAGGTAAAGGCAGGCAGCGAGGCAGCCGCCTCTGGCTCTGTGGATGCAGCGCGCACAAGCGAGCACAGGTCCAACGGGGGAGTCGCTGCCACTCCAGCATGGCTCCGTGCTTCCCTGAGCCAGAACGGCAGCAGATGATGACGATGGTCATGATGGTGGTGGTGATGGAATTTGGATGAGGAGCAAAGATAGTGCGGACGACGGAGAGGGCGGAGACAGGAGGAAGCCGAGGCGGAGGAAAGGGATCAGCGGCGGGCAGCAGCATAAGAGGATCAGGAGAGGCGGAACCAGGAATCCTGTGCTCGAAGCCGTAGCACTCGAGGGCGAGACGTCGACTCGGAGTCACCAGCACGTCGCCTGGCCGTGAAGTGCCCGCCTTAACGGTGTACGCGTCGGCTCGGTAGCCACGCAGCCCCTGCTGACCTCAGGGACAAGCCCATGACTAGGCAGACTACCACTACCGATCGAGCTCATCCCCCTCACCACCGAAACTTTCCTCATATCGTCTCCTCATCCCATTCTTCGTCCCTTCACCCTCCTTCCCATTATTCCTCATGTTCCGTATCCTCAACTTTATGTATCATAATAGTGTTGATCCTGCGGTTGCTCCTCCTCGCCCTGATCATCATCAGCAGCATCGTCATCAGCAGCTGCATCATCAGCATCATAATCATCATCAGCAGCAGCAGCATCATCATCATCATCATCATCATCACCACAATCATCAGAATCAGCAGCATCAGCATCAGCATCATCATCAACATCAACATCAGCATCATCGTCATCATCACCATCACCATCATCATGAACAGTATCAGCATCATCAGCATCATCAGCATCATCGTCGTCGTCATCATCATCACAATCACCATCACCATCACCATCCTCATCAGCATCATCATCAGTGCCAGCATCAGCATCAGCATCAGCATCAGCATCAGCATCAGCATCAGCATCAGCATCATCATCGTCATCATCATCAGCATCATCATCATCGTCAGAATCAGCATCAGCATCAGCATCATCATCATCATCATCAGCATCGGCGGCGGCAGTAGCAGCATCAGCATCATCATCAGCATCAGCATCAACATCAGCATCATCGTCATCATCACCATCACCATCACCTTCACCATGGACAGTATCAGCATCATCAGCATCATCAGCATCGTCGTCATCATCATCACAATCACCATCACCATTACCATCACCATCCTCATCAGCATCATAATCAGTGGTATCATCATCAGCAGCAGCAGCAGCAGCATCAGCATCAGCATCAGCATCAGCATCAGCATCATCATCATCATCATCATCATCATCAGCATCATCATCATCATCATGATCATCATCGTCAGCATCATCATCATCGGCGGCGGCAGGAGCAGCATCAGTATCATCATCAGCATCAGCATCCTCAGCATCACCATTCTGATCCTCACCCTCATCATCGTCAGATTCATAATCAGATTATCCGCCTCATCCTCCTGCGCCTTCTCCTCCTCCTCCTCCTCCTCCTCATCATCATCATCATCATCACAAGTTGCGGCAGAGTCAACCTCAGTTACGACGCATGCCCGACCTGTACCATATCATTACCACGCTCCTCCTCCTCCTCTACCTCCGCCTCTCTGAACCTTGCTCCTCCTCCTCGTCGACTTCCTCCTCCGTGCTCCTACGTCCTCACTCCTCCATACCCCTTCTTCTTAAACAGCTCCTCCTCGTCTCGGCTGCACACAAAAGTGACCTTAGGCAAGAATGCCTTCTGGTGTTCGGATTTATGGGTCCCGGGGGAGGTCTGTACCTTCGTGTCGTCTCCCTCTGCCGTCACGCTCGTCGGTCATACCGTCGCTTCTCTTGTTCTCTACCTGGGTGTGAGTTCGTGCTCCGCCAACCCCACATGGTATTGGCCAGCAGCGTCAAAGACCCGTATGCCCGCAGCGCCAGCGTCAGAAGTGAAAGCGATTGGCGATCGCACGGTCGATGACGGCCACGGCCACCAATCGGCGATCGACGCAAGCGCCGCGCGGCAGAGCCGCCAGCAGATCGACAGGAGCCCGGAGCCCACGACGTTGCCGTGCCAGGCCCTGTGACCTGGGCGCAGAGCGACGCCCATCGAAACCGTGGTCGTCGCCATCCTCGTCACCGTTCCAGTCTTCCTCTTGCTCGTCGTCGTCATCCATGCATGTTCCTTATCGATCACTCCTCCCTGTCGCATTCCCACACGCGTCGGTAGGGCGGGCTGGGCGTTCCGCCCAAGACCCCGCACCATTCACGATCCTGAAACTTGAAGTGTGCAGTAGTTACACAGGTGGAGGGCGGGTCGTTTTCAATATGGGGCTCTCGCCTCGGCGCCGCCAAAATTCGTCTCAAAATATTGAACAGCTGAAAATTCGGAGGGTGGGTTGATTTGAGAACGGGGGCTTCCACATGGTGTAGCGCGCAATCGTCCTAAAGGCTTGCAGCAGTCACTGCGATGGAGGTAGATGATTTCAAAACGGGGGTCTTAATTCAGCGCCGCGCACATTTGTCACATTCGTCCCGCACATACAGGAATGGATAGGGGGTCGTTTTCAAAACGGGGCTGTAAGGTTAGCACCGCGCGCGCTAGTCCTCAACGAACGAGCGAACGAACTCAGCCATCGCCGGGAGGCCCGGCGTCCCTGCAAGGGAGGCAGGCGCACTGTAGCACGCAGGCCATCTACGAAGGCCACTGGAAGCGTAATTGGAAACATGGGAGCCCAACGCAGAGCCATGCATAACATGCAAACAACTACAAGGATAAAAATCAATCTCTTTTCAAACTGGGGATCTCGCCTTGTTCGACTTCCTCGAACTTAGTAAATCGTGTACATGTGTGCACTGGCTGCTAGGATATGGTTAAAGGGATCTCTGGACCACCAGATCACGACCACGCAACCTCACCTCACCAGATTACTGGACCAGGAGGCCAGAAAATCACAGGACCACTTGATCCAGCGATCGGATAGATCACTTGATCAGGCAGCCGGATCATCAAATTAGCAAGTCGGCTGGCTGGATCACCACATCATTGGATCAGGTGGCCGATTCACCAGATCACCAGATCACGGAGTCACCCAGAGCCGAATTTTCGTCCACTTCGACACCCCAAAAAACGCCCACCGCGATTCTGTTCTAACCACGCCTGGTGTCAGGGGAGGGAGGACTCCGTTCCCTCCTTCTCGTCCTGCTAGGCCCATCCCCACCTTCCCCTCCTGAGGGCGGAAACGAACGGACCGAGGAAAACGAGAATTAGGGCGAGCAGAGAAAGGTTGGGCAGGACGAGGAGGACGCCGAGGAGGACGACAATGAGGTTGGCGGGGAGACAGAGGACGAGAGCGAATCGAAGTGGGTCAAGAAGAAGGAGACGGAGGTTGAGAAGGAGGCAAGCCAGCTGATCTCGCGCCGTATCTGACAGTCGACCCATCCCACTAATCCTTTCCCATTCCGCTGAGTTTTTCTCATCCGCCGACGGGTGTCATAGCGGTCGTGCAACTCCCGAGAAAGACCCCTTTTTCATGGAACAAGATGAGGATGAGGAAGGGGGAAGACAAGGAAGGTGACGAACCGCAAAAGCAGCATCACGATGAGCAGGAGGAGCACGAGGAGCAAGGGAAGGCGGAGGGAAGGAAAGGGGCGGGGTGGCGACGACAAGGAAAAACTCGGATCAACAGTTCTGACCCGCGCCGTGGCGCTAGCGCATTTCTGAACGACGGGAACAACACGTCGATCCGAAAATGAGGCCAAAGCTGCAACGGATAATTTTGAGACACTGGCACGAGTTCCGACTGAACCGGGAGGCGAAGAGGAGGAGGAGGAGGAGGAGGAGGAGAAGGAGGAGGAGGAGGAGGAGGAAGAGGAGGAGGAGGAGGAGGAGGAGGGGCAGATGGAGGCAGACCCTAGAGGGAGAGGAGAAGGAGGAGGAGGAGGAGGAGGAAAAGGAGGAGGAGGAGGAAGAGGAGGAAGAAGAGGAGTAAAAGGAGAAGGAGGAGAAGGCGAAGGGCAGGGTACGAGGGAGAACGCCCACTACCATTCCTCCGCCTACCGGCGTTCCTGCGCTGGTCGTGCGATGGTTTTGGTGTCAGACCAGGGAAAGCGGGTCGCCGTAGCCTCGCGGAGGCGTGGGCGGGAGGGGGGGCCAGAGATTGACCCACCCATGAAGCCTCTCGGCCGATGTTCCAAACTGTGCGCGCCATGCCCTTCTGATGTGAAAGGCCTGCGTTGTGTAGTAGCTCGCTCTGACGAGCCCTCAAAGGAAGAGACAAGGTCGCAAGGTTGCGGGTGGGCGGGGCGATTCGTCGCTTTTCTTTCGGGCTGGCGCCCTGTCAGTGCTCGCGGGCCCGCGCCCGTCGACGACACCTCAAGGCCGAATGGGAATTTGAGCAGGGCCCGCGCCCGACCAAGTGGAAGAGACAACACATGACATGCAATCGAATACGCATGCAACCACCTGTGATGCTATGACAACTTGTGCAATGCAACATGATCACTCCTTTCCCTCTCTCCTTCTGCATGCTCCATTACTGTGACATGTTCTCCCTCGCGCACAACGCGCGGGCGCGTTGTTCGCGGAGGAGAACACCCACGACCATTCCTCCGCCGACCAGCGTTCCCGCGCTGGTCGCGCGATGGGTCTTGGTGTCAGACCAGGGGAAGCGGTCGCCGTAGCCTCGCACCCATCGCGAGGCGATCGCTTGTCTGACCCCATCGTCGCGATCGACCTGGGACACGCCTAGACGGCGCAGCGACTGATGACTCCACATGTCAAGAGAAAAATGGGATGGCCACAGCTGTGTTTTGGTTTGTTTTTCATCACCAGCCTTACTCGGAGTCGGAATGGTCTATGAGCAAAGACAGGGCTGCAGTCTCCTCTACCTGGTGGTCGCGCAAGTACTGCACAAAGGCCGAACTCGTCCACTCGCCGGCGCAGAGCAGCGTCGCTAGACTGCCTCCGGCGTCTACAATGTCCCGAGCCATGCCTCTTCTCAGGGCGTGCGCCCCCAGCTTGTCTGCAACCGTAATGCCCAACTGCTTGGCGCGCTGCCTCATGCGCTGGGGGGGCTGCTGCGCCGACCGCGCGAACGCGCGCTGGCGACCCTGTTGTCGCGCCTCCGCGACGAGCGGGATGTGATGATGATGCGGCCCGCATATGAGACGCCCGGATTGGCGGCAACAACACTCGCGCCGCACGACCGCAGGGCGCCGGCCTGGCTTCCGCCTCGACAAGGTGATGCTGAAACCGACGCCCTCCAGGACAATTTGCGAATGCTCCCCGTCGATCTCCAAAGAGATGCTTTCCGACGGCATCCGGAACGGACGCAGCCGCCCCACGGCGCACAGCGCAGCTTGCTCGGGGTCTCCCGACGCTTCTGCGTGAGCGGCAAGAAGCTTCCGAACCTCCCCAGCTTGCAACGCCAGGCGTTGCCTCGGCGGGTCTGCCTGTTTCGCCTGGCCCCTTCGGACCTGCCTCGAAGCATCTGTGTCCCACTCGTTGCTGAGCCGTAGAAATCGGTGCGCCCATCGGAGATTCGTCAGATATGCCTGCAGGGCACCGCACTGACGGAACATGGCCGCGCACCTGATGACGTCGCCTTCTCTGGCGGGGAAATGTCGTTTTCACCCCAGCGCGTCCACGAACGCAGCCCAGCAACGCACTCCAGCAATCTAGGACGGCAGTGATCTGCGGATCGCCGCCAGCATGCTTCTCCGCCCTGCTTCACCCAAAAGAGATCCATCTCCTCCCGCAGCCGCCAGAGCCGCAATAGCCTGCTGGGGCGGCAGCCTGTGCGACAGGAGCTGGCCGAGGCCAGCTGATGTCATGCGGTAATCAAACGTGCGCCAACCCGTCGCTTGGGCGACTGACGTCTCACGGTGAAATTCGCGCATGGCCTGCGCCGCCACCCATCCCGTGCGCTGTATTTCCGGGAGGGTCAAAACCCTGGATATCCACCAGCCTGAGCCAGCGTTCACCGGAGGCACACCTGCAGCTGTAATTGCAAAGAGTTATGTCCTGTCTTCGGCCGAAATGGCCGCCTGCGCCGCGCTCCGTAGCGCGCCTGATATTGCCGCCGCAGCCCCGCGGCTGCTCGCCTGACTTTGGCTCGGGGCGGCTGCCAGCCCCACTGCGCCCCCGTGGGTGACCAGAGCGTCTGCCAACCGGCTCGGCGCCGCAGACGAAGTCGACGTAAAAGGCGGGATGCGCGCCGCGCTACCGGCAGGCCCCCGCGGGCTCACGGCAGAGCGCTCCTCTGGGCACGACCTGCCAAGCCCAGGCGGGCGCCGCTCCCCGTGGAGCCTCGCCGCCCATGCCACTGACGTGCATGGCGGCACCGCGGACGCACTCGCAAGTCTGGCTTCGCGCAGCGGGCCCCTGTGAGCCCGAACGTGGCTAGAGCCGACGTGGCTACGGTGAGTGTGGGAGAGAATCTTTCCCCCCGCTCCCTACGCGAGCCGAAATCGCGTCGAAATCGCGTTTCGGGCGCTTGCTCGTCTCTCCGAATTCGGGCGCCCCTGGGCGCCCGCGGCGTGCGCCGAAGCCCTGGACCTCCTCGTCGGCCAGACAGTTCCCTCGTTCTCGACTGCTCGCACGAAGTCGCAGTGTCCTCGTTTTGCCTGCCGCAGCGCGGGGCTGGGCCCTTCGCAAAGACGGCCTTTCTGGCGAAGATCCTGAGAGGGCCGCGGGTTTGACTGCGTCTTCTCGCCGACCCGCGCAGATTTCGCGCCCCCTCGAACGCCGGACTGTTCTCAGCGCCGCGGCCGGCTGTTACTCCGAGCGGGGGCCCGACGTCAAGGGCGAGAGAAGGGGGCCAACCGGACGGCCGGGGGAGGACGACGACGAGGATGATGATTAGCATTTTCCTTCGCCCCCGCGGCTTTCGCGCCATGCTGTCTGGATTCTTTGAACGACACCCCTCGCAAGCATTCGCATCGCCAAACGTGACGGCATCAGCGTTCAAAAGCCACGCCTCGAGGCCATTCGCAAAATCAGGGAACTTGCAGTCTGCCTTCTCCGCTGCTCCCATGCCGCGAAGGATGTCGAGCTCATCCCCGGCAGGGCCGTCTGCCGAATTGGCCTC